AAGGTGACTATTGAGAGCGTTTTGAGGATGAGCCACGAATAACGAAAACGTCATGTTACTTTTTAACAGACTGTAATACTTCGAACTGTAGCTTAACATTCCATACACAACGGGGTTTGGGGCCCGGGAAAAGGCGTCGAGCGAACGTTTACCTAATAATTCATCACTTTCGAAGTGATTTGAAAGCTGCCGAGATTATTGTTCACTCAAATGTGAAGAAATTGCATCAAAATATGGGGGCATTATAAATACAAGATTACTTTTTGTTTGCGAACAACTAGGATCGGACATTGCTGTGGTGACTTTCATATAGAAATGATGGAGTAAAATGCATATTTGAGGAAGGTTGCTCAAACCTGGATATAACTGCTGTATCCTTTATGGAATGCTTCCTTCCGTTTGGATACGAAAGAGCAAACGTGTGAAAGTGACCAAGGTGCATATGGACGAAAGTTGCTATCTAACAATTAAATATAGTAATACCTGGTGGTGGCTTTCCCATCTACAGTGCGTGACCGATCTGATGAAATGTTGGCCGAAATACTGAAATGCGTTTTCGATTAGAAAGGATTACTTAGGTAGGGTTGTAAGGTTGCTTATCAAACGACATAATCCCATTATATTTCGGAATCGCCAGGGTGTCGGCTTTTGGATGCATTTCTTCTCGACCTCCTACAGAAGCCGCATTCTGTAGGAAATGACTACTTATTTAACATGTATTTTTCACAGTAATTTTCGGTGATCTTATAAATTTAAATATTTTTATGGAAAACATGCACATGACTATGTTTTCCTTTATTTGTTGGGTAGAAAGTAACATTGTTGTTACATTTCATACCAGAAGAAAGCGTATATTTAGGTTCTGAAAATTTTTTCCAATTACCCAGTAATTTTGGGCCAGATCAGCCGTTGCATTTGCATTTTGCGATTCCTGTTTACAAGATGCACGCTTCCCGCTTAAAAACTCATAAATTGCTCTACGTCTTTAAGAAGATATCATGTTAAGCTCGTAAAATTTTGCAATGGATGTGGACTATGTTGTACGTTTCACGAAGAGCATTGGTAAACGGAGATGTACGATACTGTATGTATAGATATCGCATGGTCATAAAAATCTCACAATTAGAAACTTTTTCAGAACCTAAATATACGCTTTCTTCTGGTATAAAATGTAAAGATAATGTTACTTTCTATTCAACAAATAAAGGAAAACATAGTCATGTGCATGTTTTCCATAAAAAATATTTAAATTTATAAGATCGCCGAAAATCATTGTAAAAAATACATGTTAAATATGTTGCCATTTCCTACAGAGTGCGTCTTCTATAGAAGATCGAGAAGAAATGCCTTCAAAAGCCGACACCATGGCGAATCCTAAATATTATGGGATAATGTCGTTTAATAAGCAACATTACCACCCCACCTAAGCAATCCTTTCTAATCAAGAACGCATTTAAGTAGTTCAGCCAACATTTCATCAGATCGGTCACACGCTGTACCTCGATTTCAGCACAAAAATGGACATATAGGTTCTTCCATGAACGTGTGGACGTCAGAACCCACGCAACGGAATAGATCAGTGCACGTGACTCCTCCCTGCGACCGGATATTCCCCGATTCAGGCAAGATGATGCGAGCCCGCAGTTGGGTGATGACGTTCCTTGACGTACATTGACTCGGATTTAAACCTCAAGCGTGCAGTTGAAGGCTGTAGAATCCTTATTTGATGGCGTAATTACGGCTAGATGTTCTAGACTCGCCGATTAAATACGGCATGTTTCTAGAGAATGGTGGAGAGAAATGGTGCTATGATGATCATAAACTCTTAAAATTAGCGAAATCAGTAGAGAAGTGGGAAGGGTCTGATTAGGAAAAAAGAAATTAATAAGTCAGTCCGACGTAATTTCTATAACGTGGACCATATTTCGTAAAGCCGTAACTTAAAGATACACCCAAGTGTGAGATAGATTCTGTTGAACCTCTTCAGCGAACTATAATTTCCAATGAAGATGCATATATAGGCTAGAATACGGCTGCCTTTAAACAACGTAACCCAGGTATGGAACGAGCAAACATTTCGTGCAAAACTCCTCCAAAGGCTGCTATATGTAGCCCATCAAATCCAAAAATTCCCAGTGTTTGGTGTAAATTCAGATTCGCAAATCCCTTGCCTTTGAAGCTCTTAGTCTGACTGTTGCTTCTAACTCTTAAGCTTTCAAAAGTAATGCCATTTCAATCAAGAACATACTGTTTGTTTCATTTATACAACTAATGTATAGGAGAAAGCTTTGACCGGAAACTTTCCCGAATTCATAGATACATGCAAAAATCACACATTGAGACTAATCCTGCAGTTGAAGGATTGCTCTCAGTTATCTAAAAGTGGCACTTTGTAGAATAAAGAGCGAAGGATTACGAAGAATAAAAAGGCATCGGCAATTTAAACAAACCCGGCGTACTGACCGTAATGAAAGAGCAAAAATCGAGCGTCGTGCAGTAATTGACAAACTGTATTTTAAAGATGGAATATGTTTTATAAAACACAATTGATGTGTGTAAAGACTTGCTCCCGATAAAGGAATTGCGATCACCTTGAAACCTGCTCTGAGTTAGACAGCGCAACTAGTAGGACGCATCAAAAATGACTCCATCAGACTACCACCACGAGTTCTAACTAAAAGTCACGACGCGCTTCACGTCCCGTTTTCTGCAGTCCCATTTCACCCTACCTGTGGTTTTTTTCAGTCTGGCTTACAATTATTGGCATCTTTTTATGTCTATGCGAGTTTTCTTCGTTTGCCTGCAATTAATGAAGAAACCTGTGGTCCGTTCATCGAAGCACGCCTTGTAAGGTTCAAGGCCGAATTTTGTGCACATATCTTGACTGAATGCCATGCACTTCAACTGGATACCGACATAATATTTTCCATTGCAAGACAGAAGTGAGCAGTAATTTCAAAACGCACGGCAATCTGCTTCACCATATACCTAAAACAGGTAAGTGCATGAAACTCAAATTAGTGTGCTGTTTAGCCTAAACACTATGGCCCAAAGACCTGTTCCTCAGTGCTTTGCTAACGATGTCTGAAAAAAATTACATACCGTCGAAACCAGTCCATTAAATCACGTGAAGTGGAGTGAATAAAGTACACTATCTAACTGCCACACGAAACACCAATCATGTAATTAAACTCACAGAAACTGCAGATGATGACAAAACACACATTACCGCACGCTCTGTTTCTAATTAATTAAGGTATGAAGCTTCGCGGATCTTCAGACAGGAATGTAGTGACTGACGAAAGAACGACTTCCGGACTCAGCCTGTTTATAATTGGTAAGCGCAAGTTAGGAGTAACGCGTAAGCCCTAAACCCATGTCTCAATTAAGCGTACAAGGAGCATATGTTTAATTGTGTTCGGCTGCTTCTGATGGAGCGGTTGGTGACGTTTCGTCTTCATTGTGAGGCGATATCAAGCATCTGTAGGTCGATCAGAGTCTTATGTTAGGGCAAAAAATCGATTCGTCGTACCACAGAGAAAGCGAAACATTTGTTTCTGGGCAGACGTCAAGTACAGTGGACGGCAATGGCATTTGGAATTGACCACCAAATGACGCTACGCTCCTAGATCAAATGAAAAGTGCGTGACAGGCTGTCTCGGGGCGAGTTCGATAAACACGAACTTGATATATTATTTGATGTTCTTAATGAAATAAGATCATAAATGGGTTAGGGTTGGGAGTGCGAGGAGTTTATAACAAGGACGGGGGTGGAGGCTAGGAAAAAGATAGTGGAGTAAGGTGTTCTCAAGGTGTGCGTTTGACGAGATTTTGTTACTGAGAGAGGTAATGGAAGTCTGCCAGCAATGTCGATTTCCCCGAACAACTCTAATTAGTTCACTTCATGCCCTTTTCCTATATAATACCTTTGCTTCTTTGCATTTAGGGAGATCCTTTACAAATTTTTAGAAATCCAGGCGGAGGGACGCAGAGGGACGTTACTCTACGCATGACTCAGTAGAGTTCATTTTCATTTGGTATTTCCCGCCTTCTGTTGCCAGCAGAGTAGTAAAAAAAGCGAAGGCTACTAGGCGTTTAATTTAAACGTCAAAATCTAGAATGCTGTCAGAATTTGTGAGCAATTAGTTTGCAGATTCTCTATAGACCTGTGCTTCTGATTGTAAATCAGTGACTGGGTCACCTTTCCACCAATAGCTTGTTAGTTTTAATAAAATATTCGGTCTCATGGGAAACGAAGTCAGACAGTATTTGGTCAGGCAAGCAATACAAAGCATGTCTCACTTTAATCCTCACTCTTAGAGTAGCAGTGTGCGGTATTGATGGACGGACGCGTCCAAATGACTTCTCTCGGTTGAATGTTACTCACAAGCTAAATCAGTCATGGTAAAGGGTGCAAATTTAGACGAGATCGTTGTTAGATTTGAAGGGGATGGCATTTGCGTTGAATACCTTCTCCATAACTGAGGTGTGTGCTAGAAGCCTACTGACCGAGGCATTATCACTGTCCTAAGGAAGCGCAACAATTTTGTGCGCACGCATTATGTGTAATGTTTTTTTCCACATTTCCAACGAAATACACAAAAAGTTGAAAGCAATTAGCAAAAAGGATAGATTAGTTCTGTTGAATAAACCTCCGAGGGACATCTCATATTCTTCCTATACACGGTATTATACATATATATGGATTCACTAAAGGAAGCATGCTTAACACAACTATACTCTATGTGGAAGAACGGTCACAGAGTGAGGAAGTCGCCGATACTAACAGAGCAAGAAACACTGATGAGCGATTGGAGTACAATTTTACCTGCATACATGGCCACAGGGGGGCAAACAGACAATATTGTTAAGGAGAATTTTCAAAATCCACCCGTGATAGTAGTTTCCAAAGCTGGTGCGGTGCCCCACTTTCATTTCTGAACTTGTAAAACTATGACAAAGTTACAGACCAATAAATATCCATTAGAATATAGTGGGCGTCAGAAACCACTCACCCCAGCAACCACATCCGGCGGAGTCGGGAGGGGATACTCTATGAAAGCGCACAACTCCACTAGACGCAGCTTCTCTGAGGCAATTGACCTATTAATCCACCGTCGTAGGCTCGGTTCCTGCGGGAGAGATGGGACGTCAACGGCGCTGGTGATCGCTAGGGGCGAGGAGGTGTACCGAGAGACAGCTGCAACAGCAGCGGCTGTGGCAAAGTTCGGCGGCATCATCTTTGCCACGACCGGCGCTCGGGACTGCTCCTGAGCCAGCGCAAGACCCTGGGACCTTGATGGCATCGGTTGCGCCAATGACAACGGAGCCCCCATCATGGCAAAGTCTCCATGCTCGGGTGGGGGGAAGAGGCGGGGCAGGTGGCCCACAGCGCCACCGCTGCTGCCGCCACTTATGGGGGATCCATTGGCACCCAAGGCAGCAGCTGCGGCCGCGGCAGCGGCAGCTCTGTTGGGACCCACTAAACATCCGGGTACTCCGGCTGCCGCGGCGGCAAGGAAGTAGGAGTCCGAGGTAGGGGGAGAGGGCTCCCGTTTAAGGCGCGTCGGATGGCACTTTGAGGAGGAAGCGGCTGCAGCTGCTGCTGCGGCCCGGAAAGCGGACTCCCGTGAGGCAGCCAGCATGAGAGCAGCTGAGTCAAGCATCTCAGTGGCGTGGGGTAAACCTCCGAGTTCGGGATGGGGTAGGTTCGCAAGACCGGAAGTAGATGCCGCAAGATCTGTTTTGGGATAAGAAAATAGTCTAGTGCAAACGGTTGTGCTGTTGCTGGACACAAATCCCTCTCTAACCCTTTCATTAGAATGACGAGAGTTTATCGTTCATTACCAACATCTCTGCCTGGTATTTCTACTGTTACAGGCTTTGTTGAAAGCTGATCTAATTGGATCCAGTGTCCAGAAGTTGACAACTTCTGCGACCTTTGCTAGACAATCAGAAGTTTGGGGGCTCTTACAACTTCTTCGATTAGCTTCTCATTGCCCAGGATTAAAGAGTGCATGATCTACATTATTGCTTATCTGAGTTTTCAAAATCTGGCCATATTCTCCGAAGACAAGCTCGGAAAATGCGAAAATTAAGAAAAAAGAAGTGGTTGCATTAAAGAGAAATCTCGCTTTCGACCGTGTGGGTGAGCACCCACACCCCTTTCGTCGGCAACTTTTCTCAATGCCGTCAGACACATACATATATATGGCTGGCTGAGGACGGCTAATAAGCCAGAAATGGCCATTCCAATCTCCCTCGTCTTTGTCGGTAATAGCATTCTGCCTATATATATATGACCAATAGGCAGAATGTTATTACCGACAAAGACAAGGGAGACCAATTCGACAACCAAGGCCAAAGGACCCTATTTTGAAACATCTTGAACTTTTAGAAAGACAGGAGAACAGGTAGGTCATAATTTAATGCTACAGAACAGAGTAAGTTTTCCCTCAGGCCAGACGTAAAAGAACGCTTGTATTCCACTAAATCTACTGATGATTCCTCCGAAGTTAGAGAAAATTATAATCACGTGGAAAATCACAATATGCGGACAGCAGGGAGGCTGGATGAATAGAATCACACAAATGACCATATTATTACATGAGTAAAGAATATTTTGACTGGCCTATCCTTTCTGCCCCCCTAAGGCCAAATCCCGCGTCAAATATCAGTGGCGGGACGAGAATGTGTACGCAAAAAATATTGCATGGACAAAATCTCAAGAACTCTGATTACCACACTACATTTCTTAATATTTTGTAAGCATTGGGCTTCTTACATACGCGGTGCTTTAGAAAAAGTCGTGCAAGCCTAAGTAAGTCCATTTTTTCTTTACTATAGGTTTAATGTTCAGCGGAATTAAAAGATCGCCCTTGATTAGGTTGACATTTACGTAGTTTGGATGTGAGGATTTGGTTAAAATTAAAGGAACAAAGTAGATTAATCGAGGTGTGGGTTTGCAACGAGGGCAAGTTTAGAGGGGTTGAATAATGTGAAACAATTCCCGCTCATCGCACATGGCCCTTTTCCGTCAGCCTGGTCTTGACTGACTAGCGAACAAAGGGGCCTCGGTGTGCTCTAACAGTGCAATCATGTGAGGTTGGCTTGAGAGGTTGCAAGATGACGGGATAACTAAGTGCTTCTTCCCACGGAGGATCATGTTGCGTGATGACCCCCTTCAGTGCGATCCAAGACCCCTTCTTTTGAGGCATGGCTCATGTGCATCTGGGCGCCTGAAGATGAGTGACAGCGTAGACGTTGATTCATCCACATCGATTACTGCACCCACAACCCCTTCCACGCGTCTTCTAGTAGTCTTGTCAATGGAGAAAGATGCCTATGACAAGAGGCGGGGAGGGGCAAATGCTGCGCAATTATCCATCCATACAAGCTCAAATTACGTGCAAGTCATCACTGCACCCGCTAGACTGTAGTCGTTTCCGTCACATGCGAAGGACTAGGTATTCTGGGCATCAGTACAAAGTACCCACATTGTTGAGTGTACAGCCTCACGTGTGTAGATGGCGAAGACAACCTCCGAAGCCGTCTGACAGATTTGTATATGCTGGACATCAAACGGCTACCGGTGCCGCTGTGATCACGCTGGTGCCCGGGTGCACGTCCGTATCAGCATTGCAGGAAACGGTAGGTTGAAGGCTGATAACAGCCCACTGACAACTTTGCCTCTCCGCAATGTTAACCATGCAAGCGTTCGAATTGATTTATCGCAAATGGCGTAAACCCAACGATGTGGCAAATATTCCAGCATCATCTCGGCCCTTCATCACTTCGAACAAGTTGTTCCTACTCACTGTGTCAAAGGCCCCAGTAAAGTTCAAAAACTTGATGTTGAGGTCCTCCTGAATATGCTTAATTTTCTCTTGCTGCTGTACAATACCAAGACACGTACCTGAACAAAGTGAAGGCCGAGAATGGAGTCGAACTAAATGTCACTAAACTGGACCAATTCTGACCAACTCTTCTAATGCGCAAACCCTCTTAACCTGACACTGTGCTCTCAACGTACGTCTGTGGCCTGCATTTGCCTTTTCGAATATTTTTGCACTCATCGTAATGCCGTCGTTGTCAGCCAAACCGTCACTCCTCAGATGACCAATACCGAAGGTGTCAGCCCCGCTTATCCTTGCTATTGCCGCAATTTCCGGTCACGTTTTATCCTTGTCGTAAGCCCACGTTATCATCACAAGGCGAAAGGCTCGAGGAGAGAAGATAATCTCCAACAACTTCGACACCAGACTAACCTTTCCTCCTTCAAACCGTAAGTTACACCCACGTACTCATCCGGTCGTGAGCCCCTCAAATCCATCCTTACGAGAGAGATGTCTATGGCAATGACAGAAAGCGAAAAACTGCTACGGCCTCGTAGAAAAATGTCTGGCATTTTCAGTGCGTGACCGATCTCATGAAATGTTGGCCCAAATTATGAAATGCGTTTTCGATTAGAAAGGATTACTCAGGTGGCGTTAAAATACTGATTACCAAGCAGCACAATCCTATAATATTTCGTACTTGCCTGGATGTTGGCTTTTGAATACACTTCTTTTCGACCTTTCGTAGAAACTGCACTCGGTAAAAAGTGACTACTTAAAGTGTACGCAGTTTTTGTATTGATTTTCAATGGTCCAATAAATTGTAGTACATTTTAGGGAAAATAAGCATAAAATATGCTTTCTTACTCATTTGGTAGCCAATCACGTCGCGCTTACTTTTTATACTCAAAGGAAGGGTATATCAAGGTTTTGAAAGTCTTCCAAAGCTCGAATAATTTTGAGCCAGGCCAGCCGTTGCACTAGCGTTTAGCGATTTCAGTCTTGAAGGTGTATGCTTTCCGCGTAAAGAAAGTGATAAATTCCTCTATTCATTTAAGAAGATACCATATAGATTTTATAACATTTTGCAGTAGATGCGGAAAATGTTGTGCATCTCATAAGGAGTATTGATAAACGGACAGGTACGACGCCGAATTAATGGACATTGTACGGTCTTTAAAATCGCATAATTAGAAACCTTTTAAAACTGAGATATATCCCTTCTTCGAGTAACAAGGAAGCTAACGTGAGTTGCTACCAAAAGAGTAAAAGACAGCATATAATTACGCATACTTTGTATAGAATGTATTGGAATTTATAAGACCATCGAAAATAGATGTAAGAAAATATACCACATAAGTGGTCACTGTTTGCCAAGTGCAGCTTCTACGAAAGGTCGAATACAATTGCATTCAAAAGTCAACATCCAGGCGAGTCCGAAATATTATATGAGTGTGCTGCTGGATAACCGGTATTACAACGCCACCTAAGCGATCCTTTCTAATCGACAACGCATTTCAGAATTTCGGCCAACATTTCATGAGATCGGTTACTCACTGCACATACTAAAATCGAACACGAAATGGGTCAATACGACATAATTTCCATTGCATGGATGGCAAGTCTGAGCATTCCGATGGGTGTGGACTGACAAAAAAGTCTATTTTCTTCTACTGTGTGAACCATGCCAAGCAGTTATCAGTCGGGGACAATAGGTTATTTGTTTTCGGAAAACTGTACGAATGTCAGCAAACGGCGACTGAATGCCCAAAAGTTAAGTATTCTTCGATTTCTCATGCACTGACTTCTCTAACACAGTCTCAACTGCCTGCGTTCAGATCGGCAAAAGGAAATCGATCAGCTCCCAAATAGTCGCGACAGACGCCTGACAGACGACCACTCCTAGCTGCCCCATCAAATGGCGATGCTGTAATTAAGGTCTTGCATCGTCGTCTCTGCAGAAGGCGTGGCCTGTGGACGTTTCAACAAGCGCAAATCTCCCTCATAAATCACCTTTTCCGAGTGTTTGTGCGTGCAGCCAGCCAGTCTGCCGAGTACACGCGGACAAGGGTGTAAATGCAAGCAAGTTTATTAATCCCAATCACCGCACAGCACCGCATGTGTGTTATGTGGGGCAAGACGACCAGACGGCGCTCATTACTGCCACTGACGTTTCTGTCACTGTTGTTCTCCTCCCGATGTCTGGAAAAGTTCAAAGAAACTGTGTGCGCGCGTCCACACATACGCACACAGCGGCCTCTGCCTGGGCGCTCGTCCCACCGGATCCGACTGCGTGGGCTGACAACAGACTGCCGGCCAGCCAGCGTGCTGTTGTCCTTTCGGAGCGCGAGGGATAGGGAATCTAGGAGCTGCCGCGATCAGTGGTCAAGGGTCCGGTATGATCGAAGGAAGACAAACACTGGTGGGTGGAGGCCGGTGTGTGTGTGTGCCTGCATTGATTGCTGCGAAGTCTACGTCGGGAAGAGGTGGTAGTAGAGGAGAGGATGCAGGAGGATGCTGTCGGCCACGGAACTGACAGCTGTTCGCATGCGTGCGTGCGTGCGTGCTCAGTTTCGTGCCGCGCTTCAGGATGCGATTGGATGGCACATGGCCTGCTGTTATTCTAATTTAATATTGCTGCCATCAATGTGTGTCCGGACGCACTAGACCTTTGTTCTTGACAACTTTCTTCTGACCTTCAGTAGCAGCTAGGTGTGACGATCAGATTTTAAAACTAACGAAAAGCAGAAATTGTGTTCAACACTACAGATGGTTACCTCTGACTCAGTTGCCATTGCGAATAAAGATGCTTAACTTTTTCTGTCGTTTCTAGACGATAACCGCTATTTCGTATGTTTAAAATTTACCAAAAGCTCCAAGATAACGAAAAAATAACGTTAAAAAATAGGTGAGTCTAAGCTTCCGTTTTACTTGTGGTTGCACTTGCTTGGTCTGAAAGCCGTTAAAGGTCACGATCAAATTCCTACCATCAAAGAGCACCAGGTTAGGGTGCAGGTTTGAGAATTCTACTTTCCAAAGCCTAGAAGAAAAGTATGAAGAGGAGTAGATGCGACGATCATATCCTAGGCCTTTTCCAGGACAAAAGTACGTGTTTGGGTTTTATGCGAGTATGTGTGGTGTTCGTATGGCGAAGCATACAACGGGTATACTACTGAAAACCTGTTGGCACCTTATGAATATTGTTCGGTTATACCGACGAAGGTGATGGATTTCGGCTCAAATATTCATTTCAACTTTTGGAGTGACCCCATAAAGTTTTGTTTTGACAGATTTACTCCATGTTAACACACTGATTTCTGAGGAGATCAAAAAGTTGACGCTTCAGATCTGAAGTATGTACCAGAAAACACATGGGAAACACAGCTGGACCTACTGATGAGCCGTACCCCACAAAGCCGTGCTAGTACTACTTCCGTCAAATAATGAACTATGCCGGTCAACTGTGTTCACAAAGAACTTGTTTCAATGTTCACATCGTATTCCGAAGTATATATAGTTAGAAAGACTTCTAGCAAATCCCTAGCAATCGGACAAATTCGAGTATACACTTAATCAGGAGAAGGGGATGCAGATATCCGCGATCGGTCTTTAAGGAAAATCCCTTTATGACGTTTAATTGTTTACTGCGTCCGAAACTGATTTGCAAAATCTGCTTCGATAATAAGCCGGACGATGCAAACTGCTTAAAATAAATGGCTAGTAACGTGAGGACGGAAAAAAAGCTGATCGACTAGGTGACTTTGTTTGAAAGAGTTGGTATGCGAGTATGTAAATTCGTCTTGAGCGCATAGTTGTGATTGGCTAAAACATGGGGTCTTGATTTTCGATCGTTTACTATGTTTTGCAATCAAACTTTACACCCAGTTATTACTAACATCATCCTATGGTGTCCGGACACTCGCCGAGCTAAATATTCTTTCCCGATCGACAACCGAACTTGCCGTTCCAAAATGCAAACATTAGATATGCACCACACATTGATTATGTTTCATCTATAACTATGTCCTAGCAACCGTTTCGTAGGGAACTACACTTCTTAAACTTCTCATGTTTCAAGTGGCTTCTGTACGAAAACAAAACCATGAAATCTTGAGGGTTTCTGATAGCCGAGGATAGACAGAAAACAAATATGGCCTCAACACTTCATTTGTAAAGAGCGTATATTTTTCTTAAACTCTCATGTCATTTTGGAGTCGACTTTATTGAATCCTCAACAGTCGTGGTTTCTCAGAAACTTATCTAAGGACCACTGCGAGTCACTTTCATTTGCCCATTGTTAAACATCTGCCACTAAACACTTCTTCAGATAACTGCCCAGTCATCAAGCGAAAAGCCGATGGTCGACAAAAAAGGCGTAGATGGGCATTTCTCTCCCCCTTGCCTTACTTGAATGTCTGACTATTCGTCGCTATGCGGTAACCTATGAGGCTTTGACTTGGACTCCAAAATAAAGGCAAAGCCATAATGTTTAGTCTGGAATCCTGCGCCACCCTCGATTGTCTCTAAGACTTTGGCGGGTCAGACCATAGTTATTAACGCTTGCCAGCTGGAGGCTTTGATGTGCCGACGTACACTTGTCAGGAAGTAACGTGAAAACATCAGATACTTGACGTTTACAATAAAAAATAAGATTTTAGGCGTGCATACAAAAGTGATTATTCCCGGAGCAACTGCCCACTGGAAAAGAGTCATTGACGTCTGTGTACTGTTCCAACTTATCCCCGAATAATATCCACATAACCTAGGTAAAAGCGGATTCCTTATCAAATTTCTGTGTTGAACGCAGCAAAAATAGTGTCTATGAGGCTAAAAATGCTTTAAAAGCGAAAGCTCGATGTTAAAAAACAAATGCCAGTTACGTAATGCTCATCCCAACAAACTCATCACGCAGTGAACACAACTTCACGAGAAAAATACAGTTTGCCCATTGGATGCGTAATACCGACTGACGTCTACCCAATCGAATTTCGGTGAGACCGTCGATAAAGTACATGTGCAGAAAAGCTGAGTGTTCATCAGACCTCAAAACCTAACTTTTTACCAGTCGGACAAAGTGAATACTCCTCTATAAAACTTCGATTAGATGCAGACCAGAACCTACTCTATTTTCCGACTTGTACTTAAGCCGCACATGAACCCGCATCCATCTGATGGCTTACAAGTCTTAAAATCGCGGATACTTCAATGGGCTTTTTCATCTAAACAACCTTTTAAAATAGGCGTTAGTATCACCACACAAAGAAAACCATACGGTTCTGCAACATGGCGACTTTTAAAAGGAGTTGTGCAGACAAAAGTTAACCCAGAGATGCGCGATTTGGCATGTGGGTAATAAAAAACGCAAAACTCAATGGCGTAAACAGGCAAGGTAGGACTGGTCTCATATAGCGCAAAGCCCAAAAATAGCGACAACCCATAAGATCCTAAAATTATTCTTGTCCCTAAGGGAAGGATTGTTGGCTTTAACAACAGGCATCTTATACGCATTCTCATAAGAAGCCCGATAGCAGCACTGGAAAGCGCATAGTTACCTTTCCAGAGGACGTAAACAAACTTGACTCAATATTCATTAGCAAAAACAACACTAAATGTGGACGATCCATGCATAAATGACTAGGATGCAGTTTCGGAAAAAGGACTTAAATGGGAAATTTATTCTACGGGTTCCTAAGCGATTCAACAGATTAAAATGGCAGGGGACGTAGATGTAACGCAGTCTACAGTTTCAAATAAAATAAGACAAAATGCACCCCAATAACACTGAATGAAACCCAGACTACGCCGAAATGACAACTTGAACGACAAGAAGGCCGATTTCTTACTTTCCAAATGTGACTCAAAATGAAATGCAATTTTTTCTATAAGTGTTTGTGACCTAGTGCATGCTGGGCACAAATTCGGGGTAAGATTTTTCTCGGAAAAAATTCAAAAACACCTTCCAGTTTTAGAGCCACAGGTTCAAAATCGAAAGTAAAAACACTGAAGCGTATGCTATTTACATCGACATGTTTTCATTTTTTGTTGGCGTCAGGCCGCTTCTATTCCTAAAACACACAGTTATTACGACGATCGATGTCCTGGTCCACAAAAAAGACTGTGCATGATAAGGGAAAGAGATCGCCCATACAGTAATTGTAACCTTGTGAGAGTATTCTATCCTGTCTATTGATGTACCTGTAAATGAGGGCTGCGCCATATTTAATTTCCTATAGCCACTGGTGGCGATCGGACAAAGCAAAGTTAAAATGACCACAATAAGCAAAGCTATTTGGGGACTGTCTGATTTCTCTTACTTGCACACATAAAAGGCAGACAGCATGCAGCGAACACATCCTGTACGACAGGGATGTTTATTACCCGGTCCCTCGGTCAGAATATTTTACGCATAATTGCGCAAGTAGCGTAAAGGAGAAGAGAGCTGCAAATATGTTTTTGTTACACCAAATAGACAAGCACATACAGCCATTCATCCAGGTATCGACATCAACTCACAGAGAGCGTCATCAATAGTTTCAGTTGCCAAGTAATTTTACGAATTCGGTTGGAATAAAGGGGCAATAACCTTTTCGGAACACTATGCGTCCCATCCTAGTATAGCAACGTAGAACGCAAGGTGTCAGTCCTACAATTACTGGACTACCCGCGCTTGGGTTTGACCCTAAGTGGCGGTACAAACGTACGGCATATCTAGCTATGAGGGTCTTGAAAAAAGGATAACAAGTAGAATGAAGGATAACAAGTAGAATCCCCAAAATTCTGCATCGCCGTCTATTGCATATATAAAGAGTGTTGCCCAAGCTGGTGTGCCGAGGTGCGTTACCAAAAAGGCATTCGTTAGATGTGTTAGCTTAGGAGATGTTGATCGATATTGTGAAATGTGTTTTCGACTCGAAAAGATTACTTAAGTAGGGTTGTAATATTAATTATCACGTAGCATAATCCCATGATAATTTCATTACTTCAGGATGCCGACCATTGAATGAACTTCTTTATAGTCGCTTGCGCAAATCACACTCTGAAAAAATCACTACTTATGCAGTATGAGTTTTTCACATTGATTTTCGGTGTCCTTATAAATTCAAATATATTTATAGAAAACATGCATGAAAATATTCATTCTTTCACTCCTTTGGTAGAAACGCACATCTTCAATGAAGTTTATACTAAACGAAATGGTACTTTTCGGTCTAAAGAAACCCTTCTAATTCACCGCATAATTTTGAACCCGACTTACTTAACACTTGCATTCAGGGTAGCCAAAATACAAGCTGTATATTTTCCGTGTTCGGAGGGTTCCACATTACCATAAGGTTTTAAAAAAGACCATATGGGGTTTATAAAAACTGACAGTAGAGTTGAGCCATATCGTAAGATTTAGAAGCAAGATTCGTTAATGTAGATACACGACGTTTCATGAGCGGACATTTCATGGTCATAAAAATTTCGTAATTAGAAACGGTTTAAAAACAAATTACACCCTTTCTCCAAGTATAGAATTTAGAGAAGTGATTTTCGACCAAATGAGTAAAAGAATATTTTTATGCATGTTTTCTATAAAATATATTTGAATTTATATGTGCAATAAAAATCAATGAGAGAAATGTGCACTACAGAAGTAGCCATTTTTCGCAGAGTGTATTTTTCGCAGGCGACCGCAATGAAGTTTATTCAAAAGCCGACAACTGAAGTAACTGAATTATTATGGAATTGTGCTGCATGGTGATCAATATAAAAGCCCTATTTAAGTAATCTTTTCGAGTCAAAAACGCATTTCAGAATTTCAGCTAGCATTTCAAGAGTTAGCACGCAAGTGTTAAACTTTTTTTCTCTGCCTTAGATAATGGAATTGTGTGCGGGGCCGAAACGGCATGCAAATTACTTCACAGTTTCGCCAACTAATACTCGTCGTTTGCAGAATAAAAGTGCTTCAGTTAGATGCACTCGTATCCGCTCGCGAAGCCTATGTTTAGGGAATCCAGTGGTTAATGAGTGACATAAGAAGAGGTATGCATTACTCTGCAATCGCCCCCAGTAGGTGGTAACTCGTGACGTTGCGCCGATCCCTTGTTTGTCAGTCATCGAAAGCAGTACACAACGAGATCAAACAAATTGACATAGGACGGATATCCTCATATGTACCTGCGTTAGAAAACCCTGCTAGCAAATATGGGGAACGAGACAAAGGGAGAAATCCGTCATTTAAATTAAACGCTCACTTCCGGCAGTTTCAAAAAAACTAAAGAAAAGCTCCGGTCCAAAAATACTCTATAAAAACACAGAAACCGAGTACATTCTTAGTACGTTTCACGTGGAATTGCGGCTGAGATTCGTGTTGTTACTCTAACTCTCTTCTGCATAGCTTATAAACAGTATCTGCTTCGAGCAGGAATCCGGAACATCAGGCTACTAAAGCTCTTGTTCCAGCGATCGTGTCATCTTCTTCAAGACTCTTTCCTGGGACCCGTCTTTTGGCTTCTATTGACAACTGCGTGAGCCGACAGCTGCTCGAGTCATGGTTTACTGGCACCTAGTCCATTAACAAGTGCAATATCTTCCCATTCCATACTCGGCACTGAGACTTAGCCTAGGCGGAGAAATTGGCACCGCGGGGAGCGCACAGGTGAACACTTTTCCCAACCCCGGGGTCAGCGCGTCAAATGGTCGAGCAATCTTCACACCAATATCCAACGCACGTGATGAAACTGCAGCAATTAACGACGCGAATGTCGGCCATCACACCACGTGCAACGATCCCTGATGAAGAGGAGAGCCGTGAATATTCCTAGTCATGCGGTAGCATGGCGACTGCATCCTATAAATACTGCAGCCTCTTGTGCATGAACCACCCGTACCTGCTTTTGTCTCTGATGATGGGTTCGAGCAGGAATCCAAAACGTCAGGCTAAAAAAGCTCTTGTCCCAGCGATCGTGTCTCCTTCTTCAGTTTCTAAATTATTTGCCCTATTACAAAGCATCACTCTGAGTGGTTTACTCCAAGTCGGCGCATTAGCTTTTAAAAAGACTGAAAGGCCGCAATTGTAAAACCGGTGGATATACCGGAAAGCACACGGGGAACGCTGAGGAGTCCACCGATTAGCCGAAACCCTCGCAGCTGTGTCACGCAATGACGAAATGTCGGCGAAACACGTGTCTGGCCTACTAGCTAGTACCTGTATTGCCGGCACGGTAAACCACGCAGAACTGTCATTTTGCCCTCGGGAGCTAGCCAGGATGTGTCGAAAACACTTGTCTACCAAACCACCTAAACCTGCACCACTGAAACAAAATACAGTTCAAATTCAAAAAGGACAACTAATGCCGACCTAGAAGAGTGAAAAAATTACCAATTTACACTGCGATACGAGGGTGTCCTAAGTTGGCAAACGACCAACAATTCTTGCCTACATAGTTAACCTGCGAAAACACACCAGCCCAGGCAGAAATTTACCACATAAGAGAAGACGAATCAGCGGCATATGCGTATAACTTGACAACACCGCCGCAATTACTGCTAAGAGCACGTGCACTGTGCAAACCGACGCACCTATGAGTTAAAATCCTGAAACTTGGACTGTTTTCAAGCAGAAGGCATTGTGTGAGTTGAGCGTTTTTAAAGGCACTTGTGAGATATCGTTCTGCACTAATGCCTGTAAAAATTATAATTGGCCTATTTATATATGCCTACCACACTCTTAAGTCAAAAGCGACCGCTGAGAATTTCGTGACATTGGTTACTGTCTTAAGGAAACGCTGAACAATCTCGCCCACTGTAATCACCTGGTAAAAATGTGCGCCACTTTCGAAATTGCCTTTTACGCATTTCGGTTCCAATAATTCACGAAGTCCGCCACATTTTCAAGCCGTATTTTAATCTCCGTGCGCACAGAAACCCTCGAGATTAGTGAGTCAAAAGGCACAGGCCTTCTAGGGCTTGTTGCTATGATCGCACGATCGGGCAGGGTATCAACGAATCTAACTGAGTGATGTCCATTTAACCAAATAAATTCGTCATGCAAGACACGCTACATTCTGCCGTTCAGTGTTCAAAAACTTCCAGGACGACCGGAACGAAGCTAGGCTTTCTAACAAGCACACCAGGGCGTTAACCCTACTCGGCTGAACGAGTTCGCTTTTCTCTCGAAACAATAAGCATACCTTTATCTGTCTGATGTTGACAGTAGTGAGACAGAGGAGGAGGAGGAGGAGGAGGAGGAGGATGATGATGCTGCTGGGTTTTCAAAGCCAACTCTGCTGTTGCGTGGCATATAAGTGGCGACAAACAGGACCTGTTCTACAATTTGTCTGTGGTCCTTATGACACAGCGGGTTCTACGTCTGACCTAATATCTAGCCGGCTTTTGCCCGGGCATGGACTGATACTCGCTGACTGAGGAAAGGTCGAGAGCGACTTTTTCTCGCTGCACCAAAGAGGACGCGCCTTTACGCAAGCATGCGGCTCTGAAAGGCTGCAAGATTTTAAAGGTTACCAACGGACGGCGCAGCCTTGCCTTTTTGAGCGTTGCAAGTCGACCTTGCCAACATCACTTCTATGGCAACTTGCCGGAGTGACATCCGAGATTGTCAGTCTGGGTTCTGGTGAGACAAAGGACAACACCTTGAACGCAGATCTTTGTGTATGGTCGGTCACTATGGCCGAGTCTGGAATAGTTGCCGCGAGCCTAACCTGCCAGTAAAGCACAACTGCGCAACTCTCCCTCATGAAAATTCCTACAATGCACAAGCCATCAAGACACTGGCGTTCTTCGTCATCCGCGACGACCTATCAGTCAGTAGCGACAGTGGAAACGATGCTACGGAGGCTAATAATTGACTGCTTGCGTAGATAAAAGCTGCGAAATTACGACTTCAGACCTGATTTAAATCGTACTAGAGCAAACCTGGAGATATCAGAACGACAACAGCAGAGCTAAGTAACAAGCCGGCGCACGCAATGGACCTCCACATTTATTTACTCCCGCTGAACCGTCTGACAGCGGGTGAGAGATTCGCCTGTAAAAAGAAGGATGAATGTTTGTTGAATTTTTGTCAGTCCCTTCGAACTGCGAACATCTAACAAGTGACAGCTAGGCGATGTAAGTGGAACCCGGACTGACCGAACTGGAATTGGCCGAGTACGAACTTTAAATAAGACTGGATTTAGGCAGATAGGATACTGAGATGGTCATTTCTGGCTTATTTGTCCACACCAGCCAGCCAAGGCGGTTCTTGCAACGAGAGGAAATAAAAGTGTCTGGAGATCTATATGCGGCATTGTTGCCTTGTGATGAAACAAAGTAGACTTTCGCTACCGAATTCCAGATCGAGTCATAGTTCATATTCCCTATTAGGTACAGAGATACAGATTTCACACGGGCGGAGGCTTTTGTCTCCTTCAGGTAAAGGCGTGCGAATCAGATGCATTCTCAGACTGACATTTAAAAACAAGCAGTGATGTAGTAAAGCTTATCAAATGGTATCTGAATGTAATGTTAGAGATATGAATTCAAAACTTTCCGAGAAATGGAGCCCCTTTATATTCTGCTATTGCTGGTAGGCAGTTCGGATCTAAATAAAAATTATGCTGACTGCCACAAGCAGACCACTTAAAAGACAATCTAGGCGAGTTGGACGACGTAAATGGTATCATTTTTATAGATATAGGTTTCTAGTAGAACTCACAAACTGCCCGTTATGGAAAAGTTCATGGCCGTTTTTAGGTAAACAATCCGAGACGTTTTTCCATGTACCGGTTGCTCAGAGAAACCTGTGTAACACACAAGGGATCTGACTGAGTTGCTTAAGTGAACTGACAACGCTTTGACGCGGACCCAAGATGGGAGCGGCGCATCCGGTAGTAAGTAAAGATGGCCCCCCTTAGACGTTCACTATAGACACCCTCGCTGTCTCGTTCAATGTCCGTATTCTCTACGGTCCTTCCCTGTAGTTGTCCATTCCGTTGCACTCCTCACCGGTAATCTGAATGACACAAAGGGATCGCCTCTCACTCCGGATGGGTCATCTGTATATGCAAAAACGCGTTTTTCCTGTGATCTTCTATCCCCCTTTTTCGGTTAGATCTGTTTTTTTTACCATTACCAGGATTTCATTGACTTTAAACGCTTTCTCCTACTATCCCCACAAATGGGTGTTCGCTGAGGTGATTTACGACCCCATTTGGCGCGCACATAGCCTAAAAAACTATTCCGAGTGCTCCATTCAACCACAAGTGTCGTCCTCACCCTCTTTTGCCGTTACACCTGACTCCGGGTGCACCCTGTCATGCAATCCGCGGACGGCCAGGATCCAAAAGGACCATCTTTCGATTACGTCGCGTATTGGCCAGTCTAAGGTCATGCATGGCCTCCCTGGGCATAACTATGGCATAGGTTTCGTTGGGCAAAACAAGCAGCCTTATAGAGCATAAATGTTTTCAAGAACGTTCTTGTGTTAGTTAACTTTTATGTCGTCTGTTAACTTCCGCTGCGCCTCGTCGGAAAGTAATCAACCTGCCGTCATCTTCCGTGTCAGACAAAAAAGTTTTGTTGGCTTGCGGAGCCAAAATTCTCAGGATGCGAGGCGGTAGAGTAAAGTTAAAACTGATATGTCCGATAGCTCATTAATCTATCTTGTTATTTAAGCGACGCTAAATGACTTAGAATCTCCCTAAATATCAGGAATTTCTTGCAAATTTACTTGTGATTTTCCGCGCGCAATTTGAGAAGACGACACCTGGGCATTTTAATCTTGTATTTTCAAACCTGGAATCGAAAACAGAACTAATTTCTAAACAACGGTGGTGACTTACCACACTGACAGGTACTGAAAGTATCCTTAAATGGTAACTTAACTGACAAAAAAGAAGTCTGAACTCCATTTCGATTAGTTTTCCGTCACAATTAAACCAGAGCAGCAGACTATAAGGACTTGGACAAGTCAAACTTAACAGAACGTGGAATTCTTAACTATGAATACGGAGGGCGGTAGCTCCCGGCTTGTGTGAACCGATAAATGCCTAACATAAACATTCTCTTAATGCCACCTAAATATCAGCCCACTGAGCCCATGTTCTAGTTCAGTGTCCTCAGGAACAAACATTTTGCTGGCCTACCGTGTTTTTTTTGTAGTACTCCCAAGCCACCGAAGGATTTGTCGAAAAACTCTCACATAACGGCTGTCTTACGGTAGCAGCGTTATCTTCCATTAGGAACAGATAGGCCACACCCAGTATGGCAGAGACCTGCGAAGCCTCGTTCTCGTCTTCTGCACCTAGAAAACCTTCCAAAGTATTAATCAATTCGCAAAAGGCCGCGGGAGTATCAAAGCTTGATTGTCTGGGTTCAATTTGATGCCTAGACAAGCCTGAATAATGGTAGCGCGGTTGAGACCGAAGGTAAGAGTGACGAAGAAGTAACTCTGACAGACATAAATGCACGTTGGTGTAACCTGCAAGTAAGGATGTTAATGAGACTCGCAAAAGTCTTCTTAAGAGCAAACAATCGTGGGATAGGTTGGTAGAATTCTTCGGCAAAAATTAGGCCGCCAGTTTAGTGACTGATGAAAATGTGCTGGTTGACTTCCAGACCATGTGAGTTATTCAAATGCAGCGGTTATATGTGTTTGTATTAAATGTCAGACAGAACTGTCATTTCAGCGTAGCTCATCCAGTGAAGAACGGTGGTATCTTATTTATTCTATGACGTCTAATCTTCGCCTGTGTCGGAAAAGATCCAATCACATAGCAAGTGAGCATGACTTGAAATACAACGAGAGATAACAAAAAGCGATTTTTTTGCTTCTGTCTTCTATATATTTTTACTTAGAACCAATTTTGTTTTAAAGCAATATGGGTACACTTTTCTGTCAAATGTTTGATGAAGGAATTTGGAAGTAGTGTTTCGTGACAAGGTGACCACACTTCGTCTTAAATAAATTCAGTCAATTTGGGAATTTTCAAGATCAAATGTGCCACTTACTTTATGGAGACCGGTTTACCTCACATACCTAACAGAATCAATGCATTAACTCCTCATGTATTTATATCACAGACTTGAAAGTTAAACCCTTGAAGATGAAAATATGTTCCTTTAGAGAAACGGTTCAATTGCAACCGTAAGAATTTGCGTCTATGGCCTTCCCAGGCTAATTGAAAGCTGAGCTGGTTATTTGAAACGCATTTCTATCTAAATCGCCAATTCAGAAAATTTACATAAGCTGCGGTCAACCTGTCTACGGTTGTAAAGATACCATATTACTTATATTAATACGCTGACAAAGGCCACGGAGTATATTTTGTCGGGACAAGGCTCCACCACAGCTAGGGAGCTGCAAAGCATGCTTTGAAGACAGAAGATGAAATACTGCCTCAGGGACGAAAATCTTCAGTACTGAAAGTCCGTTCTGCATATCTGAGTATATGCATAAGATAGGAATTAGGAACGCTGTAAATAAATCGAACTTGGAAGACCAGAACTGAGGAGAGAAGACATTGTCTACTAAATAAACGTACACAAGTCCGGTCGAGTGCACCAGAAAGGGGGAGAGAGAGAGTTATCCCAAAATAATTATGTGGAGTGTTGTGGCGGACAAGACGAAATTGGCTCAAATCTAAGATGGAATAGAGCGGTCAATTATGACACAGCTGAGGCGTCATAACAGGGTCATATGCAGTAATTTTGACCCTTTCCTTCTTCGCAAAACGTAAGAAGGATAGTCCTGCGCGCAATGCGGACACCTAGTATACTGATCAAAAATGCCACTGCCCATACTCATTCCGGAGCAGCGGCTGTTAATTTCCCAACAATGCCGGAGTGCGCGAAAGCGCAGATAGGTCCTAGACGTCGCCTGTCGGATAAAAGCAAGGCGCGTTCTGGCACGCAGATGGGTAAAACTCCGCGGGCTGGCATATACTGTTCGACATGGTCCTACATTTACTAATTTAACGTTTGACCGCACATTAAACTATGGCCTATACGCTGCGCTTAGCCAATCAAGAGGACTTTCCGTTGAACTGACTCTGGTGAACTTAGGATAGGTTTTTTTCGTGTTTGTTACGGGTCTTACGCATTAACAGCCATTAGATCTACGGGTGATAGCAAGCTGTAGGCCCTTGGCAAAAGTGTATGACCATGACGCAGTTATTGTTTTCATGAAAAAGGTGCGTGTGTGGCACTTACCGGATATTCGCATAATCTTTCTTTTTGGCGCCTCATCTTGCTTCTCACCGAGGAATGTCGACTTGCGAGGATTTTCAGTTGGTCGTTGATTGTCAACACACACGGTGGCTGGACATCCGTTTGTTAAAGCTAGGGGTGGATGAGGATGTGGATGATGATAGACGGGATTCAAGCGCTCATCGCATGCAAGAACGGTGCCCATCTTTAGGCTTGCTTGTGCCGCCTTAGAAGTGAGCATTTCCTGAGAGACAATTTCGGCAGAAGACATCTTTGAAAGCTGGTCGATCGCCTCCTTCTTGGCGTCTGGGTCCTGTATTTTCGCCTGAAGTTCTTTGGATTTGCGGCGCGCAAGCACCTGGATGTGACTGGATACTTGCTTGCGGGTCCGTACTTTGCCAGTCCGCTTTTGAATATGGCGGGCGATCAGCTCATTTCGGCCTAGCATCACAAAATTCACAGTCATTCGCACTTCAATTTCTAAATGCAAGCTAATGGGAAGACATTATTTGCAAACGAAATGTGAAACCGCAACAAAACTGGGGCGGATAGTTGGCGGATTTCATGTAGTACACAACAAATTGTCATTAAAGAATATGCTCATTGAGGCTATAAAGATGTCTGCTGTAATGAGCCTTTATATTATTCGGACATCTATCGAAGTAAGTTGATAGTCTGTTTTAATGGTACACATATAGCAGAAGAGCCCAAAATAACTTTCATTAGTAGTTACTAAAAATTATGGCGGCAAATAATCTGCAGGCGTCATAAAAGTGTTATACAAGCATTTGTTTCTCGATATTATAGGAAGGATTATTACACAATACATCTTTCGCCAGTATCCAAAGCCGTTAATAAAAATGGACATAGGATTGCCCAGTTTAAATTAAAATGTCTTTTATTAAGTAATTTTAGACCGGTGACGATTGTATATTACAGTATAAAGTAAGTGCTAACATTCAATATACCAATTATTTAAAATCCAGCCTCTCAAGCAGTCTACCTTACTGAAATCAGCATGTAACGCTTGGTGTTAAGAGTTTCAAGCTCACCAACTGGCAACTGCTGGTAAAAGACAAACCAATTGAGTGCGTCTTAAATAGTCCGAAACAGATGTTTAAATTTTGCGGATAGCAAATGTCAACTACGTTGAATTCGACATTGCAAACTGGCTTCCTTTTACGGTTGGGGATTATTTATTGAAATTTAACTGTGAAAAACATCCCATAATACTAAAACCTGAAATTCCCCGCCACCAAAATTAATGTTTGGTGTGGGACAAGAATAATGTAGGATAGAAACTTGATTTTTCATAATGTTTGACCATTTGTGAAAGCTGATAGACATGAAGATAGTTCTTCCACCCTTTATTTTAAATCGTATTTTAACGTATTAAACGTGGTAACACATTTTAGGCATTAATCTGTCCGACTTAGTTCTAGTGACTCAGTCGCATGGTGTGCAAGTTCTGAAATTGATCTAGCAATAATTTCGTAGAATTAATCCTTATAAGAAACATACGGTATTTACAAAAGTATTTGACATGGTGTTAAGGGCATGGGTTATAAATGGATCATATTCTCGAACAAACGCAAAATCTAAGAAATTGATCAGTTTTTTGTCTTCAGATGGGACTCCATCAGGTACGGCATTATAACAAATAAAAACACCTTCACAAGCCTCAGTTATAATGCAAGTTATTTAAATAGTTTTTTTAAATAAAAAACCATAAAGCAGGGGGTGTCACTATCACGAATGTCTCGTCAACGGAAGTTTTTTTACGGACGTCACAAGAAGATAGGAATTGAGCAGCGTTTCAAGGACCACAGGAGAACTGGCAAATGTACAAAAAGTACAATATTTATTAAATGTAGGCATTAAAAATTCTCAAAACGATGAGTTTTCAAACTGTTGCCCGCTAAACCTCAGGATTAGAAATAAGACCAATTTCGCAATGCGATATGCAGTGAAATACCACCGCACGACTATTTATAAAGTACGCACGATAGCAGATTAAACCGATTCTGACAGTCAAATAAGATACGCCACTTGTATGTACATCTTATTACTATAATATGAAGTGGCATCCACTTTCAAAACTTGTACTTAAATTATTTTGACCTTGAAGAAACATGCGGTTTACTCACCATACATTCTACCTTCCTCGGGGAGAATAATTTTCCTCCGTCCGCAAGGGGGATATAATTCAAGTGCTTCCTGAAAAAACTGTTCGATTTCTGTGGACCAAACGCCATCGGCTTCATTGCTAGCTGCTTCTTGCTGATCCGCATCTGATATTGAGTGACTGCAGTCATCGCTCTGTTCGTCCGAGGTGCAGATTTGTGCTGAACCATTCAACTGAGTGGATCGCTTGTTTACTTCCTGAGTGCAATTTCGAGGGGCGGCGGGAATTTGAAATGTATGAGCTAATGTTTGAATGTTATGGTGATCTGGAATACTATTAACACCCCCTGCAACGCCACCACCGCATGCACGGAAAAATCCCATGTCAAAGGGGTAAGAAGTTGTAGAAGGATAATCCGGTAGGAGGCTGGTGTCTACAGCAGGGGGACGGGTATAGGTAAATGAATTGGGTCGTGTATTCCGAGGATTCTGACCTGGAGAAGGAGAAACACTTTCGCGTTCTTGCAGGGTCGGTAGGGTAGTAAACATTTCCAACGATAGGTCTGATCTTGAAAGGAGCCGGTTTAGGAAGATTGTTGCAGTTGCGCGCAGTGCATAAATCTATGAAAAAGAAAAGGCACTCGGATCTAGCAGGCAGATCTCACTTCGCTTGTAAAGAATACACAGACACCCTAAATATTTTCTAAAGGCCAAAAATAAGACGTGCATATACGCAATATGCAAATCTGAAAAAGTTCCTAAAATACAAATGAGCAGCAAACCCCCTAAGATTAAACAGTCAGCTTCAAATTGCCATAAAAGTGAAACGACACCGATGTAGATAGTGTCAAATCAAAAATGAAAATTTAAAATGAAAAAGTTCAATACTTACACTCAAATACTTATTTGCAGTTGCGTTTACCATGCAACAAATGAAATGACCCTAAGGGACTTATTTTTAAAAGTCAAATTTGATCCCAGGGCTCCTTATTACTAAAATAAAGCCCACTGACGCTTCGAAATTTTTCAGGATTCCGACATGCTGGCCTTGAACCCGACTTTGAGACTAAAAGCAGCGCCTCGGTCACAAAATACTTTTGTTAAGATAGTGCGTTAAAACGAGTATCTTGCCGAGTTATTATTGCAACTCAAGACAAAATACTTATGTGCCATCCGATCTAGGTTCAGTTTTATATTATTTTGACCGTTCCAGTTACGGCGGAGACTTAGGAGTTCTTACCAGAAAAGTTGCATGTAAACGAAATGCATAACGAAGCAATTATTTTATATCGTATACAAAAACTGATTAGATTGATGTAGATTTGGCAGCAGTACACGTAGCAGTATGAAAAAATATGAAGTGAAGTTGCTAAGGATGCTTGGAAATCAGGAAAATATATGCAAGGAACCCCGAAAGCAGAAAGTAGGCTAAAGTCGAAGGGCATTAGATAATTTCTGCCTACAATAATCTCACTGGAGCGTTTGCATGCAATTTATAAACACGTCTTTACATCTGACAGACTTGATGCGAGCAATAAATCACTTGACTGCATGTGTTTGTTGCCTTCCTTGTATATGGTTAACACCAAAAATCCCTTAATCCAAGCAGAACCCCTTGACCCATTAATCGTCCAAATCTACGCCTTTGCTAGTCGTAACAGAACATCAGCTGACGAAAGTTTCAATCAGTTCATATCCGGCGACACAAGCAGCTCTTCTGAAAAAGTCACTGTACAAGCGTTTAAAGTTATTGGAATGATGATGATGATGATGATAGTAGTAGTAGTAGTAGTAGTAGTAGTAGTAGTAGTAGTAGTAGTAGTAGTAGTAGTAGTAGTAGTAGTAGTAGTAGTAGTAGTAGTAATTGTTTATTAAAGACACGTCGGGGTCCCATCAAGGCAAGTTATAATAAACTTACATACGAATTTTAGACGACGTAGACAAAATCTGTACAAAGTGCAATTCGTAGTGCTTGAAATAGTAGCACATTAAGAAAAATGTTTAACGAGGTGTGAAAAATAAACTCCACATGAATATTTAAAATGAGTGGATTAATTTTACAGGAGAACAAAACCCCTCGATACAAGAGCAATAACAGAAAAATGCGGGCAGGTCTGGCCTGCATGTGGCGGTATATAATGTATTATCATCGGACATCAACAGGGCAGAAATAAATGTCAGCTGTATATAACATTGCATAACGGATTTCATGATGTGGTAAGTAGGCGGGTCATTCAGGTCAGGCCTGTATGTGGCCTTGAATAAGGCAAATAAGTGGCCAAACTGTCAACATGTCTCGAGGCGATAGGAACCCAGATGCGATCGATTACATTCATCCGAGTCCATCCAAGGATGGGGCAAGGGAGATGCGACCAGACTACTGATATATGAAACCGAGGAGAGAAAAAAAACTCAAGCATAATCTTTTACCGAGTCAATTATCTACTGTAGAGGGAGCGCATTTGCTCCTGAAACGTTGTGGCTCGGATTTCAGTTTCGCACAAAAAAACGTCTGGGTGGAAATGCGCCGATACTAGCTATCCTTTTCACCTTGATAGAAGTCTATTTTACCTTGTCGAGTAGGAAGGTATCTAGAGAATTCTGCCGTCAATGGCGCTGCTCAGTTTCGCAGAACCCCATACCAATGCAGAGAAGACTGAACAAATTAATATTGTTAAAAACCAACACCGAGATTTATTGCAATGCGTAACAAAGGCCTTCTCGACCTTATTCCACGGAGGACGTTCAACGCTACAGAAACAGCTTAAAGATCCTTCTGTGAGCTCATTATCAGTTCATCTAAGAATCGTCAAAATATTTGAACTAGCTTTAAAAATTACACTTGCGCGAGATAGGCGTAGAGAGTCTTTAGCTATTAAAGACGTGAATGCCTCTAAATCAGTTGCTCAGATCTTCCTTCAAAGATCATCTGCTAAATCCCACCAAATCATTCCGCCTGTGCTTAGCACTAGCGAGCCCTTCATTACAGAGGACTCAGACAAAGCAGAAATGTTGAATTATTTCTTTGGCAAAAATTTCACCATCGAAACTGACCCAGTCCCTTTAATTCCTTCGCTGTCTGTTGCATCTCTCGACATCATGATTTTTCTCCTGAAACTATTTAAAGAGTAATAACTCATCTTCCTAAATCTTACTCAGCAGGTACGGACACTGTGCCAAACTCTCATATAAAACAGCCATGAGATTTTCCTCCTCTGTTTAGCAAACTCATTTCAGTATAGGCAGAATGATATTACAAGGTCAAGGTCAAGCCGCTGGTTTTAAATTTGAAGATAAGTGGAGGATATTATTTTTAGTGGTTTTTCTGTGAGATCTAACGATTTTAGTACCCGTTTTTTTGGTTGAATTTCCTTAAATACAGGCCTTTTCTCTAAG